CCCCCCCCACCAATCATGTATCCTTCCAGACATTTTAAAACATAACCTGGCATCCATCTAAATGCATTCCTTCACAACAGAACAGTGACTCTGATAACCATGTACCAAATTACATCTATGATGATGTAAAACACTTAAAGTTATGACCACACTTCTGTCCAAGTGGGATGGGGCTCTTAAAAAAGACAAAGGCTACCCCTCCTCAGAAATCTCAAATTAACCCCCGTGTCCAACCATAGTTTATTACAGTACAACGGTTACTGTGGTCAAAATACATAAAATCAGGACTGTCCCTCTTTCTATTTCAGATAAAAACACTGGATATTTTAATGATTTATTGGCCGCTGAACTGGAAATGTCTCTGGTTTTCATTTCAGAAACCTTTTTTTAACGCAAAGTTTTTACATAATATAATGTCCAAGATCAGTTGAGAAACATTTCACCTATTAGTAAATCACTGCATATGCAGATCTCACCTGTCGTATGGCGTGTCGATAGTGTTGCTGCATTGCTGTGGACGGTAACTGCCTGCAGCATCTGAGGAGATATCGATAGAGCTGCACTGGTGTCTGGATCAACTCGGCTCCAGCTAAAGGTGGCATCCCCTCCTCCTTTGGGGTCAACTGACAACTACTGTTAATGAAAATATTCAAGTTAGTGTATGTATTAACCCTAAAAATATGAATTCAGTAAGATGCAATAGCTTTGAATTTACATTTACATACAAAGCAAGTGAAGAGATCCTTTTATGGGTGTTACAGATGCAAGTCACAGTCAATTCAGACAAACATTAACATTCAACTTTTAGTTAACACTTTAATAACATAATGGCTTTAACAGTGCTGAGCTAATCATATAGAAATGTTCCAGTGAACCTACAACAAACATGCAGTTTGTAACTGTCAAGTTTCCATTAGTCACCAAACCACCAAATTACGTTTTCTAAAACTGTTTCACATGCTGCTGCGTTTCCTTACTTTATTCAGTGACCTATGCTAGTCTTCATTAGCAATATATGCTTTCAGTAGCTACCTGTGCTCTCATTAGATACTTAGGCTTTAATTAGCTACCTGTGCTATCATTAGCCTCTAGCTTCCATTAGCTAGTTATACTTTCAGTAGCCACATGTGTTTTCATAAAGTGGCCAGACACAGCTGGCCTGGAGGTAAATCCTGCGTTATTAAATGAAGCTAGCAGCTAACAGTTGTAGCTTCTACATCGCAGTAGTTAAATTACTACAAAGGAACGGTAAGTTTTCCTTACTGTAGCTGTGAGCAGCAGTGACGGCCGTCAGTGGGTCCCCGACATCCTTATAACCTCCTGGGAGTCACATTATCTATCTCCACTGTAAACGGATGTGTTCTCTTCGTCAGCGTCGTCCGCTTCTTCTTCTTCTTCTTCTTCGTTTTAATAGCGACTTACAACCAAAAGGATCATTATCGCCACCTAGTGTTGCTTTATAGAGTCCGTATATTCTTGTTTTCAGTCCAGTGTCGTAGGTAAGTGAAGATGTGTTTAAAAAACAATCATTCCCAGATTTGTTTTGCAAAGATTGTTTTAAGATACATGCGTTTAATCCTTCTATATACAGTCTATGGTTTAATTCATAGACAGTTAACCTCTATGAAGGACAAAAAATGATAAAAGTATAAATAAATACATGCAAAAATAAAAGCAAAATATTGGTAATAACAAATACAATTTCTGTAGTTTTTCATTT